CCACCAGCACTGCCCTGCAGCAGCTTTAGATCAGCGTGGCAGAAAGCTCATGGTGTAGTTTGGTGGGATGGTGGCAAAGCCCACATGTTTCGGGGACACGTCGATATCCTTGGGTGACTGCGGGGACTTGAAGCGGAAGTTCTGCATGATGTTGGTGAGTAAGAGAAAGAGCTCCATTCTAGCCAGGCCTTCTCCAAAACAGTACCGCTTTCCTGACAAGATAGGGTGGGAAGGGCGGAGGTTAGGCCTACTCTCACTGCCACCTCTTCCCTCTCACGATATCCAGCTGCATTCTCCCCGGGTAGGAGGGGACGGAATACCGTGGCCTGAAGACTTTCAGAGAAGTCTCTAATCCTGTCTGAGGCTGTTTCCCTTGTACATGGGATGGGGATGAGCCATAGTAGGCTGTAGCAATGGTAACTTTAGACAACCCTTCCCCGTAAACATACACATATGGCTGCTGTGCTATCATCTCCTTAGGAGTCTGAAGAATTCAAGTGAACTTGGGCAAATCTCTGACTCACTCTGGGTCTTGATTTTTCCCATCTCTGAAGTAGGTACTATCACCCCTTTCCTTTTGCCTGAGTTTTGGTAGGTGTTAGTTAAGAGGGTTACAGTTGGTTGGCTGCAGGGTAATAATAAGGGGACTTGCAAGCTGGAGAAAGCTACTAGGCTACATCTCAGAGAGGGGAGCTGGGATGAAGGAGGCCCCTGTTGGTGTGACAGGTGGCTTGCTAACAGACAGTGGTCTCTTACCAATGGAGAATGGCACAAAAGCATCATTCTTCTTAAACTGCCCTTTCTCATCTAGGAAATGCTGAGGGTTGAAATCTCCAGGGTTGGAGAAGAACTTGGGGTCTCTTAGCACGGAGCCCAGCATAGGAAACACTTCAGTGCCCTGGTGGGGAGGAGAAGTGATTGACAAGGTGAAGGGGGAATGGGTATTCAGAGAGCATATAGGGTCAGAGGGGGAATGTGGGTGCTCTGGGTAAGGAGAAATGGGAGACAGGGTCCTCTCTAAGGGAGGAACTTTGAGGGATGTGACATTTCTGTCCCTGAGACAGGAATTTTGGGGATTATGGAGTCTCTGTCTCCTGAAGCAGAAGCTTTGGGGTACGTGCATTTCATGTCTCTCAAGGCAGGATGTTTTGGGGACACGGGGTTCATATTCCCTGAAGCAAGTGGTCTTGGGGAGATACAGGATTCAGGTGTCTCTGAGTGGGAAGGTTGAAGGGACATGTGATTGGGGAAGTCTTTGATTGAGGGAGGGGGACAGGGCTGGGAAGCTTCTAAGGAGGATGGGGTGCTGGGTCACAGGGTACAGGTTGGAGGTCCCTCTAGGCTGGGCAAGGGCAGTACCTTAGGGATGAGGAAGTTCCGAAACTTGGTGTCCTTGGTGACTCTGCGGGCCAGGCCCATGGGGATCAGGTCTCCGAATCTCTGGATCTCGTGGATCACCGCCTCTGTGTAGGGCATCTTGGCCCGGTCTTCGAACTTGGGCTGACAGTTTTTGCCAATCACCCGGTCAAGCTCCTCATGGACCTTGGCTGTAGAATAAGGGGGAATATGTTTAGGTAGCTAGGGGTCTTGGGGCAGGGGT